TAGTCTAAACGCGGTTGACGTGAACTCTGGATCATCTATGTTTGAATCAATAAGTTAAGCTTCTTTGTTACAACATTCCCTGTAAAACCTCGCATTTAATTTGAAAAGCAAATGGGAGATGAGGTTAAAATATGCAATCTGTGGAAAGCGCGCGAAATCAAGCGCGGGGAACTACGCGGGCGGTCATGGACTCGCTGCTGATTGGTCGAGGAGAACGTTGTCTCCACTCTGACTGGACCGAACAGTTTAACCGAGTTTCTTAAATCACTACTAACCCAAGCCAAGGAAATACATTGTACAAAGAAAAAACAATTTTAGTCGTAAAAGCTACGCGAAAGATGTTTTTGGTGCTTGCTAAGAATCTAAAACGTGTTATTCAATCTACAGTGTTTACTCGTTTGAATTTTCAAACCCGTTTACAAGCTTCGAGATTTTGTGAGTAATTTCCTGTTTTTCCTGTTTTGTTACAGAATCCGACAGATGATAAGAGGAGATGAGTATTAGGTCCCGGATGGACAGAAGATAAGAAAAAGAATTCGTTATTGATTATCACGAGCTGGAAGTGTTTAAGAATCTGACCTCGTTGTGTTTGTGCACGTGCATCATTTGGAAATTTGTCAGGACACAAATGAACAGTTCTTGTGGTTCTGCTAAGTTACCAAGAAAAAAAATATCGCATGTAAATTAAATCTTCCAGGTACAGGCTAAACCAGTATCGTGAAGAAAAACATAATTATAAGAAACTGGTTGAACCAGTTTAGGATTCGTGTTTAAGAGAAACTTAGGTGCTTCGATTATAAGAAGTTAGCAAGATAAACAGGAAAAAAAATAATAGGAAAAACTGCTATATATGAGAAAATACCAGCTAACCAAAGGACTACATATGGCTAGTTTAGTGGTTGTAATTTAATTGTCTTAGAGAATTTCTAAACTTTTTTTCGATTATATTGGAATTGTTTTAGTCAGAGACGTTTATTTTGGGTTTTCGTTAAGATATATAATTTAGACAAACGCGAGCTGATTATCTTTTCTTATGTCATAAAAACATAGCTAAAAAATTTGGACATTACGGAAACATTTTGAAATTGCTTAATGAACTTCGTAGCTTAGCTACTTTTTGTGTTGAAGTGATTCTCTTGTGACTGTCGTAAACAAAGAAAACCAAAGTAGGGCATTGCAGATCTTTTAAACCAATCACCGCTGGGGAGAAAATGCAATAAACCAATCACATTCCAGGGAATGGCGTAGGCGGCATCTAGCGCGGGAAAATTTGCGCAAGCCAATCACCATTGCCTTTCTCTGATTGGCTGACAAGATAGTACCATCACTGTGCCTGTTATTTGAGTATGTGGCTCTAATATCGTACCAGTCGGTCATTGTTCCCATCGTAAACGAGTCTTGAGGCAGAATGAGTTCTAAGGGGTTCACTTTTATATGAAAGGTTTTGTACGAGGACAAATGTGTTCCCTTTGGTCGAGCACGTAGCAAGAGGCTTGTAAACCAAGTGTCTATTATCGAATTAGCCATTACCGCTGGATAAAAAGACTGAAGACGCATCTGTAGATTGTTACTCTCAGTTTGAAGTTAAATATTCATAAATACCAGGATGAAAGTGCTGAAGCGTACACCAGGACGAGGCACGGAGTTGTAAATAGTTGCTTGCGCTTCTTATGAAGACTAACACTGTACAGATGTATCTTAAGTCATTTCGTTAACGCCTTTGTTTTAACCGGAAAATTAATTATTACAGATCTCAGGAAACCACCCACTCAGGACCCGTCCACACTACGCGGGAGAAATTTGAAAACGGAGTTTTCACTCTGAAAACGCATCAAATGTTTTCCGTCCACACTACGCCGGAGAACTTCGAAACCGCAACAATCACCGGTCATTTTGGATTTGTATTTGACGAAAACTTGGGCAGGGATATCACGTGATTATTATTACGCCATCGTTTTCGAAAAGCTCCGTGTTAAAAATGTTTTCCCTCCACATGGAAACGAAAAGTCCGCGTTTTCAAATTCCTCCGGTTTGAAGAGCGTTTTCGAAAAGCTCCGTTTTCCTGACGGATTGGTGTGGACGGTGAGCCTAACCGCAGAATCAAATTTTTGCGGTGTAGTGTGGACTGGGCCGAAGGGAAACACGATTGTTTACGATAGTCACTTGAACACTGCTGTACTGTTATTTTTTAACGCTTGTAACTGTTACGGTTATATTAACGTATTTATTTTGAATTACTGTTTCGTAATTATTAACATTTTAATTAGAGCATCTTTCATTAAACAACGTAGATTTCATAGAACCATGTTTTTATATTCTGGAGTGCCTTGAAATTTCCAAAATAAACCTCGTTTCAAAGAGGAAGCATTATTCGCTAGCCACCTCCCGTGTAGCCGGTGTTACAGCTGCCTCCACAAAAGGAAAAGAAGAAATTTCGGGAGGGAAGGGAGGGGCGGCGGCTTTGACACGGGCTACTTCCTGTGCTGATTGGCTACCCGTTCATTTAAGGCTTTTCTCATCTGTTACATGTTCCCAGTGAATTCCCCGGGTGTTTTACCATTGTGTAATGCGGAATGCACGCTGAAGCCTCCCTTGTTTTCTCCGGTGCTCTGCTATATTTCCCGTGCATTCGCTGAAGGTTCCCTCATATGTTTTCCCCTTCGTTACACAGGTCGTTCCCTCGTGCATCTCCCAGTGCATTCCCCTTGGGTTCCCTTGCATGTTCCGCGCGTGTCGATATAAGTACATTCCTACATCCCCCATCGGTTCCCAGTGGATTCCTTTCTTTCCTTGCGTACGAAGGTTTCCACAGTTGGCTACCTTGTGCATTTCCTTATGCATTCGCTACGTATTTCCCCCGCTTCCTTCCTAAGTATACCCCCTTGCGTTTCCCTTGTCCCCCTTGCTTTCCCTGCACAATTCTTCGTGCATCCCCTCGTGAGAATCTTACGTGTTATCCGTGCGTTCCCTTATCATGATCAGTTCCCATAACTTCCCGTGCATTTCTTTGAGTGTTCCGTGGGGGTTCCCTTGTTAGTTCCCTGCGTGTTAGAGGTACGTTCCCTTACGGAGTACGTCCTCCACGCCTTCCCGGTGCATTTTTTTGTGCGTTTCCCCCTGAGTTTCGTGTATAGTATCAGTTTCCTTACGGCGTGTCAGAAACAGATATATTCTTCACAACAAACTTTTTACTGTATATAAATTTACAAGCAATATCAAAGCATAAGGTATTTTAATTTCTATTCCATGTTTAGAACGTAAGTTCGATTAAACATGCACGTGTAATTTTAGTGAGTAAAAATTGACTAGGAGCTAAAACTGTAAAAACTAAGATAAATAGAGCACGCTTAGTTTGTGTCTGACTCGGTTTTAAAAATGTTTGTAGTTAAGGTGATTCCTCGGAAATAAAAGTTGCCGAACAAGTTTTTGGAAACATTCCCTGAATGTTCCCTACCAAGCACTGTTTCGAAAAATATAATAAAATGGATAGGTCACCATGCTCGCTAAAGAGGTATGATGGGCCAATCCTAACCCATTTATGCCTAACCACGCGCGTTATTTGATCAATTCACGTTACCTTTTGCGGTCGCTGGAGGCCTTCATTCACATCCTCGTGTAGCGGTTTTGTGCACTCTTTTAGCTATAACGTTTTTCTTTCCAACAATGTTTTTCTTAATTTTTTAACTCAAAGAGGATAATTTGTACCCCAAAATTATGCAGTAAAAAATATAAATCACCATTCTCGTTTAAGAGAAAGCGAGCATTTATTTCGCTGTTCAGCTTAGCTTGAAGGAAATCTGTTACGTTGAGTACGTGCACGCGCTCATGTGCGCGCTTTAATGACGCGAAAATCGTGCGCAGTATAGGGATGCACAATGCAATACTGAGGAATCACCTTAAAATGGCTACCTCTATTTGGCTTCCTGAATCAACTAAGACTTGAAAAATTTTCTACTCACATAGTTCAAATACATTGCGACTGGAATAAAATAGAAACACTTATCTTAAAATAAAAATGCTGCGTCTGAACTACATGTAAAGCACAATTGTTTTTCTTACTATAGCAGCTGATGTTGACCAAATGTCTACTTCAGAAAAAAATTTTGTAAGCATTCTTTCCAAACCTATACACTTTTGATTCCACTTTATCTACAACTGTTATAGACAGTCACTACAAATTGTTGTACTTTTAAACAGTTTTAACTGCTAAACGTCTAAAGCGCGCACTGACTGACAATACGTATTTTTCAATCTCTACGTGTTACTATGACGGCCGTCAGCTTTTATCCCCATTATCACACTGCTGGGTCGGACGAATACAGCCACTGGGAAAAAAAATCCAAATCATATTCATGAGTTCCCGCTAATGGAACAGTATAATGACAATAGTTAAAGGAAGCGGAGGGCAGGAGAGGGGAGGAGAGGGGAGGGGAGAGGGGGAGGGGTGCGGATGGAAAAGGGGAGGAGAGAGAAGGAGACAGGCGGTGGCCATGTTAGATTGCGGATCGAACAGTATGTGTTAAAGCACTCGGGTCGAATAGTCCGGGTTTGAGCACTAGCCAGGGTCACTTTCTTGTGCCTTTTGTCTTTGAGCAAATTCATAATGTTAAGCTCGCTTGCTCTACAGTCACAA